CCAGAGGAAAATGATAATTTTTTTGGAAATGTGCTAAAGGTTAGACAGATTCATCAATGTTTTACTTTTATAAATTCAAAGTATCAAGTCAGTTCTGCTCATTAAATATTTGTGTATTCAGAAGCTGTTTTTTCCCCGTTCTAACAAAATTAGCGTATTTGACTGTTTCTTAGGCAAGTTAGTTTGTCACAATCTGTAACCATCTCTCTTACGCTAAGGCAAACCTTTTTATCTTTATAGTAAGCAGTTCCTTTACACTATGAAAAGAAGTTGAACTGACATTCTGAGATTAACACTAAGTATTTTCATAAAGTGTTCCAGGCAGAAAGTGACTGTGGTTTTCCTCATGGCAGAACTACCCTATATCTGATCTAGGAGTAGCATTTGCTATTCCCTAGTCAGAAATTTGCTGGAAAGAATGGATTGATAAACATAACTACTCTAAACATCTTTGGTATAAGTAACTGATTATTAATGTTAAAATTGTGTCCCTTGGTAGCCCCAGAGTGAGGTAATACTTACATCTCTCTCTTGAGATTTATAAAAATCTTTATAGCTATGTGCATCTGTCAGGCTCTGCTGATCCAAAGCTCCTCTTTGCCCTTGGGCATCTTTGCTTTCTTTAACCAGTGATTCTTTTATACAGCAAAAAGATACATATTAAAAGAAAAAATGTAGTTTTTCCAAGATTGGCTTTTTCTTTGGTTTACTTCCTGTTGTTGATAGCTCTGCATCAAAAGTCTAAACTTACATCATCTGTTTTTTTAGGGGGAGGAAGAGAGCCACGATGGGAGATACAAATTAATTAATGCTCTCTCTTGTCTGTTTAGATGCTCTTTGTCCTTGAAGATTCTTGAGATCTAACGTATTTCCTCTGCTCACACCTATGAACATTGTATTAATCACATAATACACATCATGTTTGGAAAACTCTGGAGATTGGACAAAGCCTTGTTAGAACTGAAAATCACATACCTACAATAAAGGTGTACAGTTAAGCTCTAATTTCAGGAGTGATGGCAAATATTATCTGGTATAGTATCAGAGAGAAGAAACAGCAATAAGTAACCATCGAAGTTTACATTTGATACTGGCTGCAATGGTGGAGTGCTCCATGTAGCAATGCATTATGAAGGACTAGAAATTATCCTAGTATTTTAACACATTTTGAAAGCTGAGCCCAATTTACTGAAGCATTCTCACTTTTGAATAAACTGGATTGAGAGATGGAATGTACTAGTCTTAGCCATATGTATAAAAGTGATTTTATTAGAAGTTAATTCAGTGATGCAATACCCATGAAAATAGATTGAGGGAGAAAAATGGAATCTTGTTTTATTGTTGCACTGTCAGTTTAATCTGCTGAGCTAATCAATCAATGGGGATTTCTAATGTTAGATTGTCTGTGATGACTTTTTTCTTTGGTCTGGATGTGCATTATGTGTTCAGATGTTGCTGGTTTGTGTAACTGAAGCTCTCCCCTACCATTCTTGTCTGCAGTGGTTCCTGCAGGCCACTGGAGGACTGGCATATTAATTAGCACACAGTCTCAGTTGAGTGATTGGAACTCTGCTTTTTGTTTTTCTTATTGAGCGTAACTACTTTCGGAAAAGACTTTTGGGGGCTCTTCTGAGAGTTTCTTTTTTTTTTTTTTTTTGGCTAAATCATTTCAACAGCCAACAGGATTCTGCAACACTGATAGTTCCCTTTGAGAACAGAGTTTTCTGCATTGTTTGTGTCTAGTTTTGTGAAATAGGATGGACAAGAATGAGGAGAAACAGTGATTTTTCAGAACTTTGTTATGTAGTCATTAAGCTTTTTGGGAATTTTTTGGAGGGATTTATACCCTAGTAATGGAATAGCAATTTCAAAGATAATTGTTTAAATACTCTTCGACTATGGTGTCATCTGAGATAACAGCTGTTAAGACAGGCTTCTGTTAGACATACAATCATGAACGCGTAAGTCTCCACACTCTTTCTATTTGCTTTATTTCCCTTTCTGTAGTCTTAAATTCAGTAAAAAATAGCCATTTGTTCTATAGAAGAGGGTATACTTCTATAGAAGAGGATAACTTTGCTATACGCTCTTAAATGCAGATGTTCACTGTTATAACAAGGAAAAGTAATTGTTATATGCTGATATTTAAGAAATTTAAGTGTAGATGATACCTTTAGAAGAAAGTAGTGCATATGACTTTTCAGTCAAAGATCAGTATCATCTATCCAGAAAACTGGTAGCAGTTGATGCTAGTACACCCAAGCTTTGCAAAATTCCTTTGTTATCCCTATTGGTCTAAATACTCTCTAAAGATAGGGAATGATGAACTTAATATTGTTTAGAGTATAGATAAATGAAGAGGCTCATGACTTGGATAGTTGTCTTAGTCTACTGCATCAAACAATATTCATAATGTATTAAAGAATCTCAGTAAAAGAATTTGCTGTTTCCTTTTTTGTTAGGATATCAATGAAGCTTTCTAGACTAGTATGTTTTCTGTTGTGCAGGGGTAGTTATTTTTGAGAGTAAAAGAAGGTATGGTGTTTTCAGTAGGAAAAACATCAATGCTTCTCCAAATTCAGGGTGTGGATGGTTTTAGATATAATTAGATTATTAATGCTGTCCAGAACGCATGATTTTTTTTTAGCTCCAAGCATGCACTGTTGTGACTCAGTGGTTTAATCTCTGACATTGCTCTTCAGGAGTAAGGAAGATGGACCTTCAAATGTCCTTGAAGCCAGCCAGGTCTGTCTCCCCATTCCTCTTTGAACTCTGACAAAAAAAAAAAAATTGGTAACTGGTAGGAATGGCAGACTTAGCTTGAACAGAGACTGTTCTTTCATAGTTAATAAGTTATAAAGATACTGAAAGCCACAATTATTAGTAGGTTCAAATCTTTTTTTAATGTAAAATGTACAGTATTTATCCTCACAGTGGATAAATCTAGTTTCATTAATATTTAGAAATCTATGTGTAATGTGATTCTCTGTTTAGCTGCGTGCTCTGCGATGGAAGTACTTAGCATTCATTATATGGTAAGAGAGTAATATAAATATTTTTTATTTGTGTTAACTGAAGGATCATTTTCAGGGTTTTCTTTGAAGCAATAGCAACAAAGTTGTCCTCTGTCTGTTGCATGAAACACTAATATGCTTTCCTTACGGTCACTTGTTTTGATTGAAGAGGAATTGCCAGAGCTGAGAGGGCATAATGAATGCTATTACAAAGATGGTTTTAAGCACAGAGAAAAGAATAAAAACCGAAGTCCTTATATTAGCCCTTAGTACAGGAGGTCTGCCTATTACTTCTACAACAGCTGAGTGAGCATACATGAGAGCCATTTATAATGTGTATTGCTGTGTGTCTGCTCTGATTGCATACTTTGATGAAAGGTTAATTGAACAGTGTCAAGGAGCGCAGCCCTGGTCATGTACGGAAACTGACAGGATGATGGTAGCAGTCAGTACTTCATTACTTAGAAACAAAATCAGAAATCCTTCATCTTAAAGGTGGTAACTATAGAACAGTTCAAGAGCAAATGGTTTAACGTGTGGCAGCTTATGAGGTAGAGTTTTTATGCTAATGGAGCTTCACTTAACTCTGTGGCAACATCTCACTCTTGATCCTTTTGTGCATTGGAACAGACAGACCAGTCCTATTGTCACACGTCAGGAGATGTCTGCACGTACCACAAAGCCAACCTATTTTACTGTTCCTATGTAAACACTTTGTATTTATGACTCAGTGTGCATGAAGGAAAATAGCCATAGCTACAGTGTGCGGGTGTTCAGCTGCTTGCAGCAGGTGCTGCAGGAGCAGTCTCTGTGAGAGCATGGAAGGTTCTGGTTGGTTCCAGCCGATTTTGCAGCTGCCCCCAGCGGGCATAGCTGAGCCCTGCAGCCAGGCTGGTGGCACTTCTGTGAAAGTGTATTGAAGAAAAAGAGCAAAGATGCTGGTCAGGCAGTGCAGAGTGAGGTAAAAAGTGTGAGAAACAGCCTTGTGACCATCAAGGTCAGAGCAGCAGAGGAGCAGAGATGCCCCCATAGGCTGTGGAGAGCCCACGAAGCAGCAGGTGCTGCTGACAGGATCTGTGGCCCACAGAGGTTTGTGCTGGAGCTGGAGAAGATTGTGAGGAGGAGGAGAAAAACTGTTATGCAGTGACTGTTACACACTGCTTTCCTGCCCTGGGGAGGCGGAGAAATGTCAAGAAGATGGGAATGAAGGAGGCAAGTTGAGCCTGGGGAGGTGTTGCTTTAATTTTTGTTTTTGTTTCTCACCGTCTCAATCTATGTGACTTAGAAGTAAATTTTCCCCGAGTCTATTTTGCTCCTGATTGTAGTTGTCAAGTGATATCCCTATTTTGCACAAGTCTTTTCACCTTATTTTCTCCTTGCACTAACTTGTGGGGAGTGAGAAAGAGTCTGGCAGGCAGCCCAGGCCAGCCCTCCCTGCTGTGCTGTGCAGCTGCACCAGCCAATACTGGCAGCGTGTTGGGCGTTTCATTTTCTCAAATCCTTCACCAAAAGCTGTATGTAAGCACATGGAGGTAACAAATTGCACTGGATCCTGCATTATTGCTTGAAGCTTCTGTCTGGTTCAGTGATCATTGCATCAATGGGATTTATTTCTAGTGATGGGTTTAGGTACTTTGTTCTACTCTCCACACACACACACACACACACACACCATGGCCTTCTCTGGTCTCCCCTTTCCTCTATCTGTTAGAAAAAAGTCAGAAAGAAATCTGGGAAATGCCAGTGTTGTATCCCATGGGGCACTTTGGGCTTTATGTCTCTGCTTATCACCTCACCTGTAGACTAAGTTCACTAGCTGAGAAGTATTTCCTATGATGAGTTTTCCTTCATGTAGCATAATTATTGCTTTTCAGAGAATTTTTGCCTAAGGAAAATATGAATTGGACAGACTACAGATTTCAACAGTAGATTATTTACCCCTCACTTTACAGGTATTTCATCTTTTTGGAAAAAACATCAGTTCTCTTCAGGGAATTCCAGCAAGCTGGGTATACCGCAAACACCCAGAAATACCCTTGTGCTGTCAGGCCTGGAATGGGTATTGCCATCACAGTACTTGAACATTCAGTTGCTCCATCTCAGATGTTCCCCAGTCCACAAAGCAAAACCACCTACCTTCCTGATCCTTCTGGCCACGGAAGCAGATCTGGCCACAAGGTAAGGTCAAAACAAGGGGGTGAGATTATTATCCTGATTCAGTGGGCAACACTGAATATGTCACTGGCGTTCCTTGTTACTGCTTTTTCTGTTTCTTGGCACACTTTTTGCAACTCCAGTTCCTCCCTTTCTCTGCCCTGGTCTCTGAAATAAACAGCATACACTATTACTTCTTACCCCATAGTCTTTTTGCTACATACATACTCAAGATTTGTGCTTCTGATACTAAATTACCTAGCTAACCTTGACCTCATACATTATTATATGGTTATTCAGATGCTCTTTGCCTTGTAACATTTTGTTCCCCGAAGTGTACACAGCTCTCTTTCAGTTACCTGTGAAATTTAGCCATTTCACACATAACACATCCTAAATCACCAGTGAAATTCTGCCATTCCCATGGCACCAGCTGTAAATTTTGTCAGCTTCTCATCCTGTAATCTGTCATGTTTAGCAATTTCTGATGGCCCTTCCAGTGTATTTTCCAGTATATTTTGGTTGGGTGCACCATAGGCATCCTGTCGCCTGCCCTTAGCCCTAACCAGCCAGGTGCTGGCTGTTGCTACCCATGTGTAAGGTATTACGCTTCTGTGTTAAAGACGTCAGTCTTTTACAACTATCCTTAGCTTCCATATATGTTTACAAGCATTGAAGAAGGAAGAGAAGTCATAGTATTTTAAAATATTTTTAATGAAACAGGAAATTGGGTATATAGATTGTAATCATATTAGAGGATTTTTGGCACTGATGACAATGTAAGTTTAGAAAATAAAATAAAAAAGAGGAAGGTCAAACTGTCTCAAATTCCAATTTTCATGTATTCAGCAAAATGAATAGGAACAAATTTTCAGAAGGAAAGACCCATAATTCTGCTATACAAATGGAAGGTCAAATTTCAAGATATACTTGGTCTCTAGGCACAAAGTTATTTTTACAAATCTTACTACTTATTTTACTGCTTTCATACATGCTGAGTTCTTCTGAGAATATTGTGGAGCATCTTCTTTAATCCATAGGCCGTATAATGGGAAACTTTCAGACTTCAAGTTTGAAAAGGCTGCTTTTACTATCCTTTTCAGTAGTAGTGAATGTTAGTATTCAATCTTAGCTTCCTTTAGCTGGCCAGTGCCAGTTGCGTTTCTTATCAGCTTTTCTATTTTTATAACTTATTGGATTTGGATGAGTATTTAAGATTACATGTGAATTTTCCCATTTACCTTGCATTCAAGAAACCAAGCAATTTTTGTTACCTGACTGGTTGTTAGGGACTTTTCATTGAAGTAGACTTTAGGAAACTGTAGCTCATGTAAAGACTTATAGATGGCATAAATCAAATAAGAAGCAATATTAGAGATTTTGGAAAACTTAGTTTTAACTCCCAAATGCCTCTATCTGGTGGCTGTTTGTGATGTTTTTTTCTTGTTTGTTTGTTTGTTTAAGATTAGATTTAATTTTAGATTTGAGGTCCAGATCTAAAAGATGTCTCTTGTAGCAATCCCAAAATTTTCCATCTGAAGAGGATGGAAATAGAAAGATAACAAACTTCTGGTGATGTTTGCTTAGGTTGCTTATTACTCAACTGCCACTGGTGACTACCGTTTATTTAATGAGTGGTGTTAAAAACGATTTTTCCAAACATCAATGCTTTCTTTGAAATTCAACATTCATCATAGTTCCTTGTGTTTTCTTTGCTTTCTGTAGTAATTAATTTCAAATACTTAATATCTATGTAAATGTCTTTCCAAATCTTCGATTTTTCTCTTTGCCCCATCAGTTTTGCAATAAACTTTCTTAGATGAAGTGACCAGAACAGTGTTTGAAGTGCTAGCTAAGTGTTTAAATATGTATTGAAATATTCAGAAGTTTTGATATTATTCATTCCCACTCTTTAATTGTTGTAATGTTTCCTTGTCTTATAATCTCCGTATACACTGGAGAAATTTTTTTAATGAGTTACTGTCCACAGTGATGCTTCTGTCCCTTTCTTGTGTTGATTTTTCTGTGACTAGTGGAAGATGAATGTAAGTTTTTTGCTCTTTTTCTCTCAGCCTGCATTTGCGGACTTGCAGATTTCACTTCCATCATGTCATCTTTCCTTGGAAAATGAAGATTCTATGATATCAAAACATTTCTCAAAATTACACAGATTGCATCAAAATATTTGATGGAAACTAGGTCTGTTAGGAAGGCTGCCCAGATTGCATAGATTCTAGCCAGGCTTTTTGGCTTTGTGACTGCCGGGTTAATGGGAGACCATGTCACTCTTCCCAGACTTTTCAGGCTGTTTTGATATGAGCACTTTTCCTTTGTGAGACTAAGTATTGCAAGTCTCTCAGGTTATCCAATTTGACCATTCCAACTGCAAGCGGGGCTGATGCTCCTCGTGGATCCATGTCTTACGGTGGAGAGGGCTGTTTGGCTGCCTGGCTGCCCAACATCATGCCTGGAAGACTGTGTAGAGGAAATGGACCTAGGGGATATTGGTTGATGCTCTGCTTGGCACAAACCCACAGTGTGACAGGGTGTCCAAGGGGGCCAAGAAAGACATGGAGATTCTGGAGTGTGTTCCGTGAAGGACAACGAAACTGGTGAGAGGTCTGGAGCACAAGCCTTATGAGGGAGCTGGGATGGTTTAATCTGCAGAAGAGGAGGCTTAGGGGTGACCTTATTGCACTCTAAAACTCCCTGAAAGGAAGGTTGTGGTGAGGTGGTTTTCACCCTCTTCTCTCATCTCACATGTAACTAGCAATAGGACTACAAGGAATTATGTCCAGTTGCACCACGGCAAATTCAGATTGGATATTAGGAAATATTTCTTCTCTGAAAAAGTGGTCAGGCACTGGAATGGACTGCCCAGGGAAGTGATTGAGTCAACAACCCTAGAGGTATTCAAGGAACACTTAGATATTGTACTGAGGGACATGGTTTAGCAGGAGGTATTGGTGATAGGTGGGCAGATGAACTGGATCATTTTGGAGGTCTTTACCAGTCTTGGTGATTCTATGATACTTAAACATCTCGTGTTGTATTGTTGTGTGTCATGTCATGTATACTTTTATAGTTCAATGGATTATTTGCACAATTTTTATAAACTAAAACATGTCATTATTTCCCAGTACTCAAAAAAAAAAAAAAAAAAAAAAAGTCTGTTCAGTAATGATGTTGAATGTTAAGAAGTTACTCTGTAACTTTACTGTAGTTCACTACTGTCACATTTTTCACAATTGATTTTTCAGGGCTTTGCCATAAAGGGTTATATATATATCTTTATATAAATAAATATTTATATAAAATAAAAATATAAAAACTTATCTTTACGTAATTATATATATTTAAAGGAAAGGAAGGAATATATAATACTTCACATTACCTTTAAAACTGTCTAAGGTTTTATTTATCAAATAGTTGTGTGACTAGATCATATTATTCTCCAACCATCACATGCTTTACATGATTTGACTTTGTGGAGATAAATGCCTTGGGTTACGTATAGTACAAATCATAACAACATAATGCAATTTTGTAAAGGATCTTTTGTAATTGCTTATCACACATGTCTGTGCATGATAGATAGGAACAATAAAAGAATAAATGAAACTATTTAAACAAAGAAGTGTTATCAAAGCAGTGTTTTGGCTGATTTGTCTGAAATGTTGATTACTTTTTTTGCAATATGTCCCAGTCTGAACACTCAAAAGGCATCAGTCTCTCTTGGAATGCATTAGGAACCATTAAATAGAATTGATGAAGAGCTTACTTTCTGCAGATTTAAGATCAATAGCTGAGACTTCAGGGAAGACTTGGCTGCTGCTGCTGGATAGGCTATAAGGTGATCTTCTGAGTGTCTGGGGCAAGGTCATCATATTTAAAGAGTGAATTCTTACTGTACATTGTTGTTCTTATGGAGTCAGTATAAGAAGAGCAGTTACAAAGCTTTTGCTCTACTTGGTGTGAATACAAAATCTATAAATTGTATTGCATAAGAATCAGGTGAATCATGAAAGACTAACTTGAAAAAAAAATACTTGCCTACATAAAACATAAGAATTTAAGATTAGCACTTCAAAATCAAACTTCCATCTGTACACCTGGATAGCTGTCCAGCTGTGGCTGCAAGTGGCTGGGCTGTAAGCCTTCATTCATTCTTAAAGACCAAGATCAAGATATACAGATGAAACTACAATTCAAAATTTCTCATTATGTTTTGACCCCTTTGCGATCTGGCTTTTCTAGTACCAGTAGCTCACAGAATACCCTGTTCCAGATGGACTGGCCCCTGCTCTCTGGAGCCTATTGTAGCAGAGACCCAATAATAAAATTAGTTGTTGATTACTGCATTTTCATCTTATCTTGTGCTATCAAGTGCTGAAAAATCCTTCTTTCTCCGTTAAGAGCTCTGAGAAATTAGGAAGTCAAAATAGGCTTAAAAAGTCATATAGAAGCAGGGAAGTTCCATGCAGAGAGCCCTGTCACTTAGATGAATACCCAGAAATCCAGTCATGGATTTCTATGCACTGATCATTATTTGCAGGAGATACATCAACCCAGTCTAGGAGAAACCTCAGTGAAACAGATTCTGCACTGTGTTTTCTTTTCCTCTGCACTTTAAGGGAGAAGTGTGAAGTGATGAATATTCCCAAATGACTGTCAACTGCTAGATCTTAACTAATATAACTAAGATCAGTAAGTTCATATTAATTATAGGTTGATTCAACTTCCGTTGTTCTTCCCTACCTTTAGTAGAGAATAGAGTTTTAATATTATAGTTCTGACTTTCTCTAGATGATCTGTTTATTAACTGATAAAAGAAGCAGACATACCTGTGTAACGTTCCACTGTCTTCTTGCATACTGTGATATAGTTTCACTTCATTTTTTTGCTAAAATGCTACTGCTGTATTTTGCTACGGATACTATTGGTCTTCCTTAACCACAAGGCAATTTCTCTCTTTTCCTCTATTCTTGAGGAAGATCTCAGCTTTTTTGGCTGCTTTTGATCTTTGATTTTTTTTTTGCTAAGTATCTGATCTTGAGATATTTTAAGTCATAGCATCATTATAACATATGAAGTTAAAGGAGATGACCTGTTTAGACCTCTTCCATCTAGCTTCCCATTTGTTTAAGAGGTTTGACTATTTGCATTGCAAGACCAGATATAGTATTTTTTTTCACTACCACTTCCATTACTCCTGTTAATTTTACTGCTTTGGGCCATGTTAAATTTGCTTTTACCAAGAATCATCTTTGAAATATCTCATTATTAACAGTGCATTCATTCTCTCAGCATGTCCTGTAGGACATTTCTAAATAGGCAATATTTCATTAATGTTTTAGGCTGTCACGTATACGATTATATTATCATACAGCTATAATAGCGTTTTGCCTTTCCCTATCATGGAATATTTTACAATGATGTTGGTTTTGATATGTTAGTTTTTTGCAATCCTTTACAGATCTTCTGAAGTCTCATCTCCTGGTTTCTGAGTCTGCTACGAACTGCTTAAGACAGGGTAAGTTTTACTACTTTGTTCATTTAGGAAAACTGATTTATTTATTCTCTCTAATCTTATATGTGACAAAATACTGGCTTAGAGTTTCAATATATTGCTCCAATCCTTATTTTCTGCATTTGACTGTACATATTTCCTAGAAATTATTCTACTTTTTGTTACCATTTTTATTAAAGAACCATTTAGTTTTTAAAAGCAGCCCGTATTTATAATGATGAAAATAAATTCCTGCTCTGTTCCAGCAATATAAAAAACACAGTAGAGGAAAAACTCTGTAAAAACAAGGGTGGAATGGAGAATAACTCCCTTTTGTTGTGCTCTTCATTCATTTCCTGGGAAACTATCCATTAGCCCTGTGGAATATTTTGCTCTGGGTGCCACAGGGCAGTCAGCTGGTGTGCACTTAGCAGACATATACTTAAAATAATTTATCTAATTATTACTTGCCATCACCAACTGCAATTTGAAAGAGTCAGCATATAATTAACTTGTTTTCAGAATTATTGGTCTTGTAGATTCAATTAGTATTTGGAGTTATATACGTATTTTTGATGTCTTTTTTTCCAGCATGATCTAGGAACTTGTCACTCAAGGCTAGTACACATATTTATTTTCTACTTTGAAAAAGTCATTTAGATAGATTTCGGCTTTTCTGGAGAGTTTCTGTGCTCTCTTTCTGTTCAAGTTGCAACATATGTTAGTAGTTATATTTTACGGGACAGTGTCACACGTGAGCTGTGTAATGTGCTGCCTTTAGGTCTGTCAACTGGTAGGCTCTTGAGTAGATAAATAATTAACAAAGCCCTCAGTCTAGTGGTTAAATACAGTCCTTCAAATGGCAACAGCTGCTACTCTAATAGGACTCTTACAATTCATAGGCTCCACCAACAGTGCCAAAAGGAACTTTGTGCAATCCAAACCAAACAAGCTATCCAAGATAAGAACCATTCATTTCATGTGAAATTTGGAATATTATTTTGGCCAAGCAAACATTCTGACCTGTCACCTTTCCAGCTATGTTGAGCTGGGGTACAGCAGAATCTGGAAACACCTTTCAGTTCACTGTTGCCCCCAAAATTAGTGCCAGCTCCACAGCGCTCCTTTCAAATCCTGATCCAATGTAATCAATTACCCAAATCTTATGTGATTGACAAAACATAAACTTAATCCTCTGTGAGCCATTCTCTGTTCCATTCCACTGGAGAGCTCAGCTAACTCATTTGGCTATCCACCAGAAAACTGAGACAGAGGGAAGTGTTTCTGTAGCGACATTAGAATCCTGCTGGAGAGCTGAACTTTGCTGTTGTCATCATCATCTCTTTATGTCTTTCTTTAAAATTTGTTTATATTAACCCCTTTTTAAACTCCATCTTCTGTTATTAACATTTCTCCTATCTCACAGTTCATCTACTGTCCAATTTCCCACTCTTTGCAATTTACCTTTAGCTTTTTTTATTACTAACTGGTTAATAGGACCATTTTAACTATTGCAAGTACCTGAATTTAACTGAGTTTTTCAGAGTTTAATCTTGCTATCATCAACATATAGACATGACGATTTAAATGAATTTCTAGGAAGTAGGTCCACAAGCTTCATGAAATGAAATTCCAAAACTTAGGAGGGTTTCTCTCTGTTATTTTACTTCTGACAGAAGTTATTACTTACTTTAACTTTCAGTATTTCTATGCATTGCTATTTTTATTTACACTAGGTTTATTATTTATTTATTTATTTATTTATTTATTTATTTACACTAGCAGAAAAGAGGTTTCAAAAATTGTGGAAATTAAGGGCTACTTTCAAATTTGCCAGATAGAAATTTTCTGGAACTCCAGAGAAGTATTGCAAAATCTCTGCCTTTTGTTTCAAAGTAGATGCATAACCAAATAAGAAAGCTTTTTTAGTATTTGTCTGATAATTTTTCAAATGAACTTAGTACAGTTAGGCACCAAGTCTTTCCTGTGCCTTCAAAGAAAATGAGTTCCTATGTTACTCAGACTTGTTTAATGACACTAGTCACCTTGTATAGCGAAAATCTTGTAAAGTTATTCTGTATTGTTCTATTCAATTTTTGAGGGCAAAATGTGGTGATTTAAATACAGTGAAACTGAGCTCTTTGCCAGGATCTCTGTAGTGGCCCTTTTTAGTGACCTTGGTCAAGTACAGGGCCGAAAGTGGGAGTAAACGGAATTTCCTCTTACAAAGAAAAGCACTGTGGCAAAATGCGTAAATGTTTATCTACTCATTTGAAACACTTCAACAAAGATTTCTGTCAACTACAAAATGGCATTGTTTGTTGGAATGATTAAGACTAAATGATGAAGATGCTAACACTATTTACTCAATCTGCATACTTGTTAGTGTGACATAAACACAGCATTTCCCATCAAATATGCTCCTCCTGATATGAATCAAGCTCTTTTATGACAGAGTTCTAAACTATTCATCAATCTGCCTCTTGCCTTGACTGCCAAATATAAAAATGCGTGCTGATTTTCAGGGATGTCACTTGACAGCAATCTGCTCTTGGTTTAGAGTAATAGGCTATCAGAAAAACACACACTAAAATAATTACAAGCTTTTAGAACTGAATTCTGGGTATATTTTTTGTACCAGAAGTGCAGTTCTGGTACATACATTTGCAGTCAATGGGGTTGCACTACTTATATGCACCGAATTCAAACCTTCATTCATCATTAAAGTTAATTGAAATGTTTATTGAGAATCACAATGTGATATCATCAGTGTCATTATCAGGCATATCAGGGTCTAATTCACCTGAGGATTTTTATCCATCCCTATATACTTCATGATATTTGTATTTTCCTTTTTTCTCTTCTGAAAATGTAGAATGCTTTGGGTAGATAGTCCTTACCAGTACAGTGAATCATCATTGCTAACAAGGTATAGATTTATAGGACTTGGATTCCAAATTATTATCAAACCATATCGGAGAGAATAACGAATCCAGTTTGTAAACACTAAGATATGCTGTTGGGGGATTTCAGTACTGGGACCCACAGTCCTTAACACTTGTTATTTTTTCTTTGGCTGAACTGTAACTCAGAGTAAAATTAAGGTGAAACCTGCTCTGTTTCATTGGCTTGATTACTGTCATCCTAGGATAATTAATTCATGTGTCAGTTCCATAATCTGATAAGGGATTATGTCCAGTGCTGCATGCCAGGTATTGAGCAATCAGTCACCTTCACATCGTGTGAAAAGTCACACGAAGTGCGTCATTTCTAAGGGGTGCAAAAAGTCAATATTTGAAGTACAGAAACAGCTGTAAACATGACACTCTCCTAGGTATTTCTTGATGATAGAACACCTGGTTGTTTTAAGATTGTTTCTTGTAAAGATACAGTAGTCTGGAAGGTATTATGTTTACCTATGTTTATAGAAGGCGCATTTAACTGGATTATTAAAACAAATGTGGGAATCATCATCCTTTTCTGCTTGAACTGAGGAAAAGCAATGCTTGAAAAATGTTTATTTTTGAAGGTAATATTTCTTACTTGAATTAAATGAATTGAATTAAAATACCATCTCTTTTAATGTCAGAGATGGTAGATTATCCTCTGGAACTAATATACATGTAAAATAAAAAAGACAGTCTTTCAGTTTTGGTAGCAATGTAAGACTTACAAGATACATACTGAATTTCAGAATTTCTCAATGACAAATTGTGGGCAAACTGATGACATTCCTTGTGCCCATCTTACTTGACTTGGAGGTAAGTATTAACTTTCCTATATCTAATTTTACTAGTCTTATCAATTGAAAAAGCTGTTTATTGTTGTGCTTGTAGGAAGGTGCGACTTTACTCTCTGTTGGAGCAGTGAATCAGAGGGAAGAAACAAAATATATATATATATAAAAGATAATAATTTTGTGGCTTTAAAACACGTTTTCCTCTTTTCTTGTTCTCTTTCTTTGCCTGTCCGTAGTTCTCTGTACCTCAATTTCCAGTCTGAAAAATTGAGTTTCTGTTATCTATTTTGGAACGTAGTTAGTATGGGCAATGAACTCTTGAAATAATTAATGAGCTTTTGAATAGAAGTGTTCATTGTACAATAACTGCATAAATGTAACTGTCTAGCTGCAGTCTAACATCCCAGACTGTTTGAAGATTGAAAAGAAAAAAAAAAAGAAAAAAATTGCTTAGCATTTCAAACTCTTGCTGAAAGGAAGGAAGGAGAGGACACTGAATGATCAGGGAAATGCCCAATTTTTAGGAAAAAGCTGATGTTAATGTTGTACAGAATCAAAGTTACTCTTGCTCTTCGTGGAAATTAATCTTCTGATACTGGTTTGGAAGAGGTTGAGATGGTTCCTGTAAAGTATAAATGGGTGACAAAATCAAGGACATCTGTATCAGTACTGTACTTGTTTTTATTCTTATGTTGGTGCAAGTAAAACCTTTTAAACCATTTGTGGCCTGTCCGTTTGTGTCAATTCCCAATGGAGTAGGTAGCTGAAAGGTTTGGTTTCAAAACAGCATATGGGTGGGAATTATCAGGTTGCAAGTTTGTAGGTTTTGTTTTTATTTTTCTCCTTGAAGGAAAGAGAGTATAGATGACAAGTGGGGAAAAACTCTATTTTGTTCCAAAAGGAGCTGCTCTGCCTGTCTGCTGTGAGTTCCGTAGCTGACTCAGTGTTCGTTTTATTATATATATTTCTATTTAATCACTGAGCTCACTTTTAATCTTTCATTGGTTCTTTTCCAGACAGTGCTTTGGAGCTGCTTATTAGCTCTATCCTTGTAATCCTAGATTTTTGCTGTTAAACTGTTAAATTGAAGTTTAGCTTTTAGACTTGTGGGAATTCATGCTGGCTACAACAGTGTTATCTGTACAGCTGGCTTTATACTATCCTTGATCCTACTGGAGAATTGAGAGTCAAGTGAGGTGGATTAGGAGAGATGCCGGACAGAGACTGTTATTCACAGCTGGTAAAGTGAGCATTTTATTCTAAATGCAGTTCTAATGGCCACTGATGTCTCTGATGTCAGGACAGCATGTGGAGGAGGTGACACGTAGCAGACAATGAATCTGTGCATGGTGGATGGAGTTGGGCTCATTTGGGGAATTTATTAACTTCTTATTAATTTTTCTAGCACTGAATTGAGATCCTGCCATAGTTCAGCTAGAATTTTATTTCAGCTTTCAAGTGAAATAATCCCACCACCTTTAAAATTTAATGAAAAAAGAACTAACTATTGGAAATTATAGTAGTATGTTAAATAGATGAATTCCCCTGGGAGGAAGGAAAGAATTATTCCCCAAGGGTCCCTAACAAAGGAAACCATTAAAAGGAAAAAGCGTGTATGTCGAGTATATCTTGATGACTTTCAAGGTGACTCTGCTAAGTGCTGTTGGGAGACTGTGGCAGCAACCTTTTCAAAGTGTGTGCTCTGTAGAAGCAAAACAACACATCTTGTTGTGAAGCTAACCTAGATGTACACAGGAAGTATAACTGGCTAGTATAACTGGGGCAGCTCTTGTCTTAGAGATAATGGGGTCCATCCCCAACCAGGTTTTGTAAATTGACATAAATCTGAGTTTTGCTTCCCTCAGCATTAAACATGCTGGCACCAAACTGAACACCCCAACACACAAAGGCAGGAAGAATTGCAGTTGTTGAGATCCCCACCCGTGAAGAAGCACTGTAGCTGCTACTTGTACTTAGAATTCAGATGCTGTTACTATTTCTGGCTTTGTTAAAATGTTGACCTAATCTTTGAAGTATTCAGGCTTTTAATTACTGTGCAGTTAGTTAAGTAGCGCTTGCTTTTCTACTGATGCTATTTATTGTCTTTCCTAACAAAAAGGCAACTCTTGAAACATGGACTGCTAAAATGTGCTAAGGAGATTTTCTGCACAGTGGTAACATGTGCTGGGTGCAATCTTGTGTGGGTACAGAAACTGCTAAGAAACCTGGATTTTTCCAGTGTGATATTACGTCGCGCAGGATAAATTTATCCCTACTGAATTCTATGTTGTCATGGATACGCTGCTATTGGTACCTGAACTACCTAGTTTAAAACTAGCTTAGTTATGTTGGTCTTCTTGTACTTTCTGCAAAATTTTTGGTATAGCTGGGAAGTTAATAAAATGTGGTTCTTCTGTCTTATAGAAGTGTTAGCTCCAAAGCAGCAAGCAGTCTTCACCATACGTTTCTCTGATACTGACTAGTTTAATATTGAGAAATGAGTGCAAAGTAATTTTATTGTGAAGTACTGTGGGGCAATCTTAGGGTGAGATCTTTCATGGCAGACATTTATTTGCATCAGATATTGGAGGATATTCTTGGTGGAAGATTACATTTCTAGTACCAGATTCCCCATGACCATCTTATTCTACCAAATTTTAATTTTTGGATAAATATACTGTAAATATTTGCATTTATTAATGCAAATGGAAATCGTTTCTTTATTAACACCAAGCAGTAGAAATTGAAACTGTTATGAAAACTGATATTACAGTGGGTTCTGTGATGTAAGCATTCTCTGCGTTAACCTTTTAAAAATAATTATAATACTATTCAGTGTTTGGTTATCTATTAATATATTTTAACTTCTAGGAAGCTGTTTAGAATCACATGTTAAAAAATATTCAGCTTACAGGAGCAGACCCTTCTTAAAGAATTAGCACTATGAGGAGCCAGATGAACAAATACTTTGAGAAAGAAAATGGTGCAAAAGGAGATGATGTTTTCTGCAAGGTTGTAAAGCTAGCTGTTTGAACCAAGAAATGGCAGTATAGCAGTTCTAGCATTTGAAGGGGGTAAATCACTGCTAATTTATTTAAAAACAAATGGTATATCTTTGCATATACCTTTGCTAACAAATGTCTGATGCAACTTTTACAAAAGCAGTGAAAAAATGACAAGTAATGACAAGGCTAAAGTAGATTAAATATGAAATAACTTGCTGAGCTATAAGTCAGTAAAACCAAAATCCTGTCTGTGCTATACTAAGCCAGGAAAAATAATTTATAGTTTAGTTTTTATTTCCTTTTCTTTTTGGGACCTAGAAAGGCTAATACTTTTATAATAACTGTTTGTTGAATGTCTGACTTCATGATCCTGACCATGAAGCACTGATCCATAACTGCTGAACAGGAGACTGCTATGGAGAATTTATGCTTCAAACCAGAAGAGTGTCTCAAACTATTATTGAGTTGTAGCACTACAATATAGCTCACAATAAAGCTTGTAACAGCATTGAGTTCTTTGCAGCTCTTTTCTCTTTAAAATCTCCTGATACTCTTTTAAATCAAGTTCTAAGGGGAAAGCCTGTTTTCCAGGACAGTAAGTAAGATGTTTATGGAGAACAGAATCCTCTCTTTCCCACTGTGCCTGAGCAATCCAGGAATTACAGTAGGTTATTACTCCTTTTCTTCAACTTTGAGGGAGATGATGGCTTAGGATAAGCCCGATGGTGGCCCTAGCTACCACACCAATCTTTCCTCAGGCTAGATGACCGAGGCTAAGAGGCTACAGAAATATTCATAACTCTTAGACATACTCTTAAATTCCATCTTGCCATGTGCAGTGGAGCTGTGTTTTGTGCCGCTGCATGTCATTTTTCTTTCAGCTAAAAAATAAAAGGAAGGTGACATAATTAATAAAGACTTAATTTAATAGTTTCAGTGAGTAGGCATTTTTTTTTATACCAAACTAGTAGCTGACCTGTAATTTTAAAATGTGAGGAAAAAAAGAGAAATTCAGATTCAGCATCTATTTGAGTATTCTCCCCATAACTTTTAAATGAGCAGTAGTTTAATATCAGCTGTAGCTGCAGTAAAAAAATGAAGTAAAATAAAATCATACAGAACCTGTACATCTGTGGTAACATGATGCTAGTTTGTTAATAATGAAAATAGCTTGAAGCATTTGGAGAGGTAAATTGTATTGCTGGGAAAGTGAAAAGTGTCAGTATGTATTTTCATTATTTGGTCTTTTCTGAATCAGGAAAAGCCTCCGATCTGTTTTTAACAAGCCCAACTACAAATATAATCTAAGTAAGTTACACTTCTTATTCACGTAAGATTCTCTCTCTGTTAGAGATTTAAAAGCCTTATTTCTCCTATATTATTATTCAGCAGCTGCTTACCAGGATTGTAACTTTGTGCTAAGCATAAAGATAAATAAATTATAGTTAGGCAAGTTTATCATTGGAGAAAGTTTGCTTAGTACAGATTAAATATTTAGGGTTTTAGTCATCCTCTTTTAAGACAGGGTGTAGATAATAGTTGAAAATCTTGCAGACCAGTGAAGTCTTGTGGGTAAAAAAGGACACTACCTGTAATGCAGCCTCCTAAAAATCAAGTTGCCAATGAACTTTGTAAGGTCCTTTTCCAAATCATGAAGTTGTTAAAAATTACATTATGAGAAGGTTTATACCTTAAAAACATTGCTTTCTTTAAACTAAAACTCTTCTCAAAATGACATTTGGAGGGAGTGTTTCAGATATTTCCTGTGCAGTATAATGAGAACAACTGAAAGGTAGTTACATTGAAAAGTGCTTTCTAATATTAACTATATATGTTGCTGTGAGGTGTACCTTTGTTGACAATGATGTAAGAAGGAGATATAATTCTCTCATTCTTTCTCCTTTTAAAAATAATCTTGAACTGCATCTTCCAATAGGATTCATTTTATTTGCTTCTACAGGCAAACTTTTCTGGGCTATTACATTTATGATTTAATGGACAAATTTCTGTTTAAAAA